CTTTTGTCACGTAGTGATCGTCTTCTCAATAGAACATCTTTGATAATGTCTTGTGGCCAATCAGAATCAAGATAACGGCATGGTGTTGTTGCAGGAAGTCCTGACGGAGAATACTTTTGCTGTAGTGCATCACTATCAGTGACGTGCGGTGAGGTTCATGGCTGGTGAGGCACTGAGCCAGATTTACAAATATTATATTTTGACCTTAATCAAAATATTCGGTTATTTTCAAAAGCTTTTTTAGTCTGATGCTTCGATTCATTTTAAACAGACCGTTCAACAAAAGGATACCCAAAATCTAAATATTGGATTGCTCTTTCTTAGTAAGATCCCATTTTCATTACAATTGTGGTCTTACCTTGACTTGAAGATTAAGTCCATGCTCTCCTTCTGGACAACAATCTCTATAAGCGTCTTTGGGTCTAGAAAAGCGCTATATAAATCCCATTTTATTATTATTATTATTATTAGTTTTTTGTAAAAGTCCTCCTTATCTTCCTGTAGTTTCGAAAGTCTAGTTTATTGTTTGTGTCTATCTGTCTCTGCGTAGAATAACAGTAGCAACAAGAACCTGTGGGCTCACGTGTGCGGCAGAGGTTATGGCTGCCTCTCCTGCTGCTTTTTTCATTGCCGTTATATGATGACACCAGCGAGCCTAAATATCATATATATACATTAAATAAGTTATTTAGAGACTATGGATGGCGAGGATACATTTAATAAAGGGATCTACAAACATTACATTGGTAACCTACAGTGAGATGGTAACAGGCATGCGCTTAGTGCCCGCTTTCCAGCCAGTTTCTGTGGGGTGACACATTCTGAGGTGAGGCAGAGCTCATCTGTGCCTCACCTCACCCTCCACAGTAACTGGCTTGAGCGCGGGCACAAAATAAGTGCCCGCGCTAAATTAGTGCCCGTGCTCCAGCGAGTTACTGTGGGCTTACGAGAGGCAGAGCGCGTCCCTGCCTCACTTCTCATCGCTACCGGTAGTTGTAGCGGAGCTCGGCAAATTGGCTGGTTTTGACTTTAAAAAGCAATTGGAATCATACATAAATCACACTTACATCATAGATCAGTGGAGACATTTTATTATTATTACTATTTAGTTTTTCTTTAGTTGTTTTTCCGTTACATTGGAGTATGACAGGTGAGGCCCTGCCTCCCCTGACTGCACGTCGCTGCCCGCCTCCGACTCCCGTCTCTCGGCACTACAATATATGAATTTCATGATGATAAACATTGTGGAACAATGATGAAAAATGTGACTGGAAGTGGCGACGTAAAACTAACACAAAACAACAACAAACTTTTCCCGAGCCAATTGGAGAGTTTCATCTGCAGCACGGGGTAATAACCACCAATGAGCGCTCAGCTCGATTTACCAGCGAGTCGTTTCCCATCAAGCATTTCACTTCTGCAGCCCGTGGAGAGGAACTGCGCCGCCTCGCCTCGCTCTCAAGTCTGCGGGCATCTTTGTCCCGCGAGATTTCAACATCTCATGTAGGCGAGCCTCCATAGCAAGTCGGACAAAATGACTAACCATCATGCAACGCACTAGCAAGACGGCGATCGCAATTGCGCAGGTCTGCGTCGGTCTCGCTCGTCTCAAACAAGCCTAATATTAAAGATGTTCCTATTTGGAGCCAATACACAGATCTGTTTTGGAAAAAAAAAATGTTCTTAAGATTTGTTCACTTTGTCAAAAACGAGAATGTTCTGCGTTTATCCCATACGTTATTGTGTACAGTGATATAATACCGTCGGCACAAAAAAGGATACCTTGTTGTGGTAAGATTTGAAAAATAGTCCAGTTATAGACTAGAAGATTAATAGAAAAATATTGGCAAGTGTTACACCAAGTATAACAATTTTTTTTCCTTCTTACACTTCCATTTTAAGGATTGCTGCTTGTATTTTCTTTTGTGAAATAACTAAATATCTTGAGTGTTGATTGGGTAAAACTCACTCGTTGCTATTATTTAGTGTTTTAGAATTTATTATTTAGAATTGTATTCATTGATAATTGTTAGTTGCTTTCTCAAATCTGATCTCTATTTCAAAATACAGGGGAACAATAATTCTAGGATTGATTTTCAATGTTTGTTTTCTGTTTATGTTTCCCAGATCCATCCAGTGCTTACGCGGCTGTGTTCATGAGAGGTGACAAATCATGGGCAGCTGGGATTCATGAAAATGCCAACATGTCTTCAATCCTTGGACTCCCTGCAAGAGGGTCAGATGTAACTGTTCTCATAACCAAGGTTAACTTGAATCCCTTTTGTACTCTTGTGGAATTATGGGGAACATTTGACCTAGAGAAGACAGCAGATTACGAGTGCCTTTTCAAAGAAATCCAATGCCCTGGTAACTCATTTCAAGAGTTTGAAGGAAATCCTAGTGACCAGTGCTTGGTTCAGATAGACGCTACTTGGTACAGATCCCGCATTGTCTCAAGGAATGGGTCAATCTACAGTGTGTTTCTCATCGATAAAGGGATGACATTTAACACCACCAGAAACAAGCTGGCATGGGGTAGGAAGAAGCACTACCAGCTGCCACCCAAAGTGGCATTTTGTATACTAGCTAATGTGTTACCACTCTCACTTCAGAATAGATGGTCTCCTGTGGCTCTGGAATTTCTGGAATCTCTTTCCGGTAAGCCACTGAAAGCGCATGTGCAAGATGTACTTGTGCCACACAGAACATTACTCCTGCACATTCCATCCATCTCCAAACAAATGTATGAGATGGGGATTGCCAGGAAGCTGTCTCCAGATGTGTTTCAGGACTTTGTTCTCACGTCACTGCAGTCCCAAAATGCAGATGAAGTGTCTCCGGTGACTCAAATACCGATTGAAGCAGGTGAGCGACTGCACAAGACAGAGGTCTTCCTGTATCCAGAGCTGCCGAACGGAACTGTGGAGACCGTCATAGTCACAGAAGTCACAAATCCGCAGAGGATATTTTGCCAGTTAAAGGTTTTCTCACAAGAGTTAAAGAAACTCTCGGGGCAGATCACACATTGCTGTGAGGGCAGAACAACCAATTGCATTGTAGGTCCAGAAATGATTGGGTTTCCATGTGCTGCACGAGGAAATGATGGCAAGTGGTACCGCTCTGTTTTACAACAGGTCTTCCCGTCCAACCAAATGGTAGAAGTGTTGAATGTTGACTATGGAACAAAACAGTTTGTTAAAGTGGAGAATGTTAGACCTCTGGGTGCAGAGTTCTTCAGGATGCCTGTTGTGACTTACATCTGTTCCCTCCATGGAATCATTGACGAAGGGGGTGGATGGACAACCAGCCAGATTGACTATCTCAGGACCCTTCTTTTGCACAAAACGGTGATTGCCAAATTTGAGTACCAAAGCATCTCAGAGGGCGTTCACTATCTCACACTGTATGGGGATGAAAACACAAACATTAACAACTTGTTTGGTTCCAATCAGAGCTGTTTTCTGGAGAGTGAGAAAACACTTGGAGATTATGCCATCAGCACTGCACACAGCCGCAAGCATACAGCTCAGCAAGAAACAAATCAAAGAAAGATGCTAACTCCTGGACAGGGTGTAGAGCACAAAGATGGGAAAGGAATCATACAAAAGTTGCCAGCTGAAGACCTTTCTCTCAACTCCTCCCATGTGGCTTTTGTTCAGCACGTATCTGACCCATCAGAGTTTTGGATCCAAACACAGAACTATGCAAATGAGTTGGATGAATTGATGGATGGTATCTACCATCTGTACAAAGATTCAGTGAATAAAAATGTGGTGACAAATCCAACTGTTGGGCTGTTCTGTGCTGCCAAGTCAGAAGATGGTGACTTCTATAGAGCAACTGTGGCTGAAGTTGGTGAAATACAGGTCAAGGTGTTCTTTGTTGATTATGGAAACACTGAAATGGTTGACAGGAGGAACATCAGGACCCTTCCTGATGATTTCAAAAAGTTGCCATGTCTTTCTCTGAAATGCACTCTGGCTGGTGTCAGGCCAAAAGATGGAAGATGGAGTCAAAGTGCTTGTGAGTTTTTCATAAAAGCAGTCACAGATGTAGAGCTGACTGTACATGTGACATCAAGGTACGATGATGGCTACGTTGTTCAACTAACAAATCCTGACGCACAGGGAGAAAGAGATCTGAGCACACTGATGTGTTGTTCTGGCCGTGCTGAAAAGGCCGAAACACAGAGACAGCCCAAAGCCCAAATGACCACGCAACCTGCCATCCTACCACAACTTACAGATGCTAGCCTCTCGGGTGTAGGGTACAGGAGCAAAGAAATGCTTTTCCAGTCTCAAAACACAGTTCTGCCTGCTGTGTATGAAAGTAGAAATTCTCAATTTAAGGAGCATATGTTTCCCATTGGAAGTGTCCTTGATGTCAGTGTGTGCTACATTGAAAGCCCAAACAACTTCTGGTGCCAACTGGTTCAAAATGCAGGGCATTTGAAAGTGCTCATGCGTGACCTACAGGCTCATTATGCAGACACTGAGTTTCAGCCCCTTGTGGAAGCAGCTTGTGTAGCTCGCCATCCTGAAAATGGAATGTGGTACAGGGTCCTTGTAATTCACAAACATAAAACGTCTGATGTGGATGTGTTGTTTGTTGACTTTGGCTCAAGGGAGACAGTCCCCCTCCATGACCTAAGGAGGATTAGCCCACAATTCCTTGTTCTGCAAGGCCAAGCTTTCCGATGCAGTCTGTTAAACCCTGTTGACCCTACGTCTGCCATAAATGACTGGAACGAAGAAGCAGTAGCAAGGTTCCACAGCTTTGTGGAAACTTCAGCATCCGACTTTGTGATTTTGAAGTGCACCATATATGCTGTCATGTACAGTGAGCAGAAGGTTCTTTTCAACATTGTGGATCTAGAAACTCCCTTTGAGAGCATCTGCACAAGTATGGTAAATCTTGTCAAAAGTGCCCCTCCAAAAAAAGCTGCTTCGCCCTCTTTCCGTCTGGACACATACTACTACTCGACGCACAATGTCAAAACTGGAACAGAGGAACAGGTCACGGTGACATCTGTAAACAATGTCGGTCAGTTCTACTGCCAGCTCGAGAGAAACGCTGATGTGATGAAAGATCTCAAGATCAAAGTGAACAATCTCTGTTTTCAGCTTGAGAAGGTAAAGCTCCCAACAGTCTTTGGAACTTTGTGCTTTGCAAGGTACACTGATGGACAGTGGTACAGGGGACAGATCAAAGCCACTCAGCCGGCAATTCTGGTTCAGTTTGTGGACTATGGTGACACTATTGAGGTGGACCAATCAGACTTGCTTCCTGTTCCCAGAGAGGCTATTGACATCATGTCTGTTCCTGTGCAAGCAGTTGTGTGTAGTCTCTCCGATGTCCCTGGCGATGTTCCCAGGGAGGCAAACAGCTGGTTTGAAACAAGTACGACAGAATGCACATTTCGAGCATTAGTGGTGGCCCGAGAACCAGATGGAAAATTGCTGGTTGAGCTGTATCAAGGAAACGCTCAAGTTAATTCAAAGATAAAGAAGATGTTTCAGATTGAGATGCAAACAGAAGGGGTGGTTGTCCGCCGGGGTTGGAGAGCAACCGAGGCTTCAGCAAATTATGACCAAAAGACTGCAAAGATTTTCCCAAAACAAGAAGAAATGGAAGATCACACTCCGACCATCAAAAATGTGTCTGCCCCAAAACCAACCTGCCAAATGAGGGATGCTGACATAAATCTTCAGCCTTCATCAAAAACTTGTCGGAAGAACAAAAGTCTCTACATACCTCCACACCTAAGACAGTCAGACAGAAAGACACCAAACGATACAGGAAATGGTTATGAGCCGACATGTGCCTATAGCAAACCAAAGAAGGTCATCAAGTCCAAATCTCCTGACCCTGAGAAGGAAAGCAAAACTGAAACATTCCCTAAACTTGCAGACCTGCCGACAAAATCTATCACATCAGGTATGGAAGCGGATGTTTATGTCTCGCACTGCAACAGCCCTTTGAGTTTCTATGTCCAACTTGTCAGTGAGGAGGATGACATATTCTCCATTGTGGAAAAGCTAAATGATCCCAAATCCGTCCCCCAAACCGACAACCTCAAAGAGATGAGTCCAGGTGACCTTGTGCTAGCGGAATTTGCAGATGATTCCTCATTGTATCGAGCAGTTCTGAGGGAGATCCATGGCAATACAATGGCTCTTGTCGAGTTTATTGACTTTGGAAATACAGCAATGGTTCCAATTTCAAAAATGGGCAGACTCCATAAGTCCTTCTTGCAGCTTCCCATGTACAGTACACAATGTTTGCTGAGAGAGACTACAGGTCTTGGAAAAGAGGATGTGCTTGCCCCAGAAGTGGTGTCAGCTTTCAAAGAAGACATCGGTGGTAATGGAGAAAAGACGCTCAAGTGCCAGTTCATCAGGCAGTCAGGGTCTGTGTGGGAAGTCAGTCTTGAAGACAGCGTCGTAAATGTCATTTGTAAAGTACCTACAAAAGGTTCAGCGGAAATCCCGGAAGTCAAGGAAAAACCTTCCAAGGATTCCGACCTTCGGAACATGCCAGAAAACTCTGAGAAATTGCTGAACTCCTGCTCTCTAAGCTACCACCAACAAGATTTTTCAGAAGGACAAAAGTTAGAGGTCTACGTCACCGCTATAGATGATGTTCAAACCTTTTGGTGTCAGCCTGCAGACTCAGAAGAGCTTGATCAGATAACATCAAGAGTCTCTAAAGTGGGAGATGCGGCTGATCACAAACCTATTGACGCAAGCTCTCTTTCCTCTGGCAACCCATGTATTGCTCTATTTTCAGATGATGCTTTTTGGTACCGTGCACAGGTCATTGACAAAGATGGGGATGAGCTGTCTGTTGTCTTTGTAGACTATGGAAACAAGTCCCAAATCAACAACGCAGATGTAAGGGAAATGCCCTGTGAGCTGATGGAAACTCCTCCACAGGCGTTTAGGTGCGAGCTGGAAGGCTTTGATGCCTTACACGGGTCCTGGAACAGTAATGCACTTGATGAGTTCTCTGCACTAACAACAGACAAAGTGCTACAGCTGACTGTCACCAGAGTGACTAGAGAAGGAGAAAACGTGAAATGCCTTGTGCGGATGGAATGTGAGGGCCAGGTGCTAAACGAGGCGTTGAAAACCTGGTGGAAGAGCTCAACGACAGGAAACAAACCTGCAGTTGGACTAACAAATACATACAGTACACCACTTCTTAGTGAGAACCCTACAGAGTCCATAGATGAGTCAGAGAATACCACTACCGACTTGGAGTCTCTGTCAGGAGAGATTAAAAACAACACTGGTTCTGGTAAGTAACAAATTAATATCTCAAATATTTTTTTCATCTGTTGATTGTTATTATGTGAAGGTAATAATGTCCCTTTTTTTAAAAATGTATTTCCAGGTCCAACTGAAGGAGATGGGGGCAAGGTTACAAAGGCAAGGGGAAATTATTCTACCAGTACGACAAAAGTGAAAATGGTAAATGATGTGAAAAAATAATAGTATGTATGAAGGTCAGGATTCCCGCGGGGTCTTAAAAAGTCTTAAATTTGATAATCTGAATTTAAGGCCTTAAAAAGGTCTTAAATATGACCAAAAAAAATATTTTTTGTTGGTAGACCTCGGTGAGCTGGTCATTTCAAAAGTAGTTCACCAGCCAAAAAAGTGTGGGCACCCCTGGTTTAGATAGTTCACTTTAGTCTAAGTCAGTGGTTCTCAAACTTTTTCTGTCAGGCCCCCGTCTGTCGGGGCCCCCCCAACACAAATAGTCAGGCTCAGTGGCGGCGCCAGAGATTTATTTTGGGGGTGCTGTGGGGTAGCTTGACGTTTCATAGAGGGTGCTCAAACATTTAGGGTTTCCCATTAATGTACCGGTCGCTACAGT